TGATTATTATGATAATGTTTCTCACCCTTCTGCTGGAATGATGTCCTACATGACATCGTGCAGGTATCAAGGAGTAGTATTGCTTGTAGTTTCGAGGTCGCCATTGGCGCAACTGTTTAGTAATTTAATTATGTTGGGTCGAGTCATGCTTTGGTCATGTAACACTGGGATCGCTTGGGTTATGTTTCAGATGTGCATTATGTATTCTATATCATGTGTTTTATTCATCGGAATGTTATGATGTTGGCCTTAGTGCCTAAATGATGTTGGTTTACGTGATGAAACGAAATGCTTCTGTTAAGGGTATTATTTTATAAAATGTATCCGCTGCTATATGCAAAGTGAAGTTTTGTAAAGCATGATTTTATATTGAAATGTTAATGAGCATGGCAGGTGATTTTGATGTTTTGGAAGTTATGTGTGACGCCCTTTTGTGAATGCATGTAAAATTTACTCTGATTATGCATATATTCTTCGTGGGGTTTAGAAGGGTGTTACATTATTACTGTTGCAACATTTGACATCAAGATTTACGTTTGTACCCTTCAATGTTCAAGCATTCAGCTATATAAATAAGTCTCTACCTCATTGCTAAATATAAGAATAACAACAATCAATATTACAAGTGAAATACACCCAGTCTAGAAATTCTATCAAAACACAAAGAGTTGTTGCTCGCATTTGTGTAATACTTTGTTCTTAAATTTGTTTCATCTGCTTTATAGAAGCACCTATGTAAACACTTTCTTTGTATCTTTTTTGATATCATTTTTCCTCAAGTGACTAAGTCTCAGTCTGTAGACTTGTGAGGGCTAAAGTGTTTTTCTAAACACTTAGAAGAACTTGTTGTAATCTTTCTAGATTAGTGGATTAAGTCCTTTTTGAAGGCAAAATCATCTTGGCGGGTGGACTGAAGTAACTTTGTTAACATTGAACTAGGATAAAAATATTGGTGTCTTCTTATTCATATTCTCTTGTTAACCTTTGTGCTGAAAGTTTTAAAAGTTTACATTTGGTAAAAATCCAATTTAAACCCTCTTTTCTTGTGTTTTTCTCTACCTTCAGTATTCTCATAATGATCTTTGGGAACTAAAATACTTGAGTGTTATGTGTAAGAGATTTGAAGTGTTGATAAAGTTTATTCTCCTCATTATGTTATCATACGATTCTTGAATAGTCAGTTTCTCATTTCTTTAAGGTGCCTTTCCCATTTCATTATTATCTATTTACCTTTAACATTTTATTGTCCCGATACTTGAAGGAAGCAGTATCCACCACGAGTCAAAACTAAAAAATAAAAAAAAGATGTTCGTGCTTCTTAGGTGGATCATGTATATTCCGCAATTGTTTTTATCTTCGCTCAAGAGGGTAGTCTTGATGAATCCTTTATAAATGGTTGTCCATCTTCGGATTGGGGTGTCTTGATCCCTGGTGAAAATGAAATAATATGTAGCGAGTATAACGATTGTGCCATCACTTTCTATGAATGAATTTTCTCGATCCTGAGTTTCAACTGCCTTTCAATGGCTTTGAAATGGAAGTCCTGGATAATCTGATGGTTGCTTTGTCACAGATGTACCCTTTGAGCTTGGCTTATGTAAAAGTATTTCACTATTTGTATAAATATTTAAATGGGAAAACTTCTTTAACCTTTTTCTTCCACCTCTTCAAAGTTCAATGTGGTTATGAGACTCAGGCACACGGTCTTGGTTTGATTCACCTGTTTCCAACTGTGTGTGGTTTTAGGGGTTTTTCAGAGAACTTTAAGCTATTAAAAAACTGATTCTTCCTAGTTACCCCCTCTGCCCAAAGGCTCATGAAATGGTGTGAGGTATCAGGGATTGAATGGGAGATAGACACACTTACTTGTTCCCCAAGAATTAGAACGAAGATTATTTCCTGATGGGGAATGGATTATGATGAATGAATAATAACATTTGAACCTTCTAAAATATATAGACCACATATTTTAGACCCTTTAGTGATAATCAATTCATCACGCAAAATCTTTAATACTCCACGTTCAACTCTAGTAAAATAGCCTAGATCATCAAACATACTTATAGATAACAAATTTCGTTTGAGTTCTGGAACATACCTCACATTGTGAATAAGAAGTTCACGCTCATTAAACATTTTAAATCTGACCATACAAATACCATGAACCTTGCATGCCTTATTATTACCAAGGCAAACTACTCCACCTTTCATCATCTTCAAAGTTTCAAAGTATTCTATTCTTGGACACATGTGATAAGAGAAACTTGAGTCAATGACCCTACTATCTTCAGTTTCCAAACTCGATACTACTAGTGCTTCGGCATCCTCATAACTTTCCTCACCCAATGCAACTACAACTTAAACAGAATCTTCATTGACCTTTCTTTTAGGACAATGCCTTTTTAAGAGACTTATTTTCTAACAATTAAAACATTTTACCTTTGACTTGTCAGACCTCTTTAATTTGGACATCCTTTTGCGCTCACCTCCTACTCTTGACACATTTAAGCCTTCACCACTATCTTCAATCTTCAAATCTTTTGAATTGAAATTTATTTTGGATTTCACCGCCGTCTGGACTTCATCGAAAGTAATAGTACCTTCCTTACCATAAAGAATGTTATCCTTAAAGTGATCAAAGGATTTGGGTAATGAACTCAACAAGAGCAAAGCCTTGTCCTCATCATCAATCTTCACTTCAATATTCTCAAAATCATTGATAATCTTGTGAAATTCTGTGAGTTGCTCAACTATGGATCTGTTCTCCACCATTCATAATGAAAATAGTTGTTGTTTCAGATACAAACTGTGAGTCAAAGACTTTGTCATATACAATGATTCAAGTTTTGTCCACATAGCAACCGCAGTTTGCTCTCTGGCGACTTCTCTTAGAACTTTATCCCCGAGGCACAAGATAATGACATTCTTGGCCTTATCCACCATCTCGGTCTTCTGTACCTGTGTAAGCCCTGCAAGCATCAATGCTTCACTCTTCAAAGCATCGATACACTTCTCTTGAATTAAAATTGCTTGAAACTTAATTTTCTACAAGTCAAAGTCGTTGTAACCAGAAAATTTCTCGATCTATCATCTACTAACCATGGTGCTCACTTGTCAAACAATATCTTTTTGTTCCACGCTCACCACACCACTTGTTTTGAATCTTGTTATGATTTACGACAAAATTCAATATCAATTTGTGAGGCAAAGAACAATAACAACCAAAATAAATGGTCTTCAGCAATAACAGATAATATAACAGAATAAGACAAGAAAAAACTAAAGGTTTGTTTACCCAGTTCGATCAAACGATCTACTTTGGGGAGAGAACAACTCTCCAATTCACTATACTCAAAAAGTTGTTACAAGAGATTACAAATGAGCTACAAGAAAATAAACTCCGCCTTTAGGTTCCCAAGAACAACCCTGAAGGCGCCCAAGAACAACATGAATCACTCAAACCCAAGGTTTTTTTTGTGCATAGCTGAAACCCTATGTTATACCTTTAAACCCTTAGTGTCCTTTGTTGGTGAAAACTTTAAGATTGTCACACACCAAGCATTTAAGAGATGCATATTTATAATAGCAAATACCCAACAAATAAAGTCAAAATCACATGGATCCATGGACCGAATCGGAAAATCTCGAAAACTCAAAAATACTATTCACTGTACGAACAACACTATTCACCGTACGAACATCATTATTCACCGTATGGACGACACTATTCACCGATCGATATATATATATATATATATATATATATATATATATATATATATATATATATATATATATATATATATATATATATATATATATATATATATATATATATATATATATATATTAATTACGATTATCACACAACAAATCTATAATGTTTCTAATCCATATTTTATCTCAAATTTCATATTTGCACATTAGTTTAATTATCAGTCACAAGATACAACTATTGCAACAAGCTCCTAATGAATTTTGAAAAATACGAATCTCTTGTTCATCTCACTTATTTTAAAGTCATGATTCGAACTCACTGCCACAATTTATCTTATTTTACAGTTGTTTTGACGTTTATTCCACTCCAAACAGAGTAACAATGAAGAAGATCAAATTAAAATTGCGAGTTTCAAAAATGAAGAAAGATTGTATGTTTAGATGTGTAATAAAATGGCTAAAGATTAAAATATTTAAACTGATTTCCCTCTCGCTGTCGTTTTCCTACTTGATACTGTGCTACTTCTATTAATCACTCTTTTGTCTTATTAGGAATTTTTTCTTTTTTTTTTCTTCTATTTTTCTTATCTTTATTTGCTTAATTTTGGGTCAAACCCAATTAAACACCTCTAAATCAAATTGTTCACAAACTATAATCAAATTGAATTTAAGGTCGAAAAAAAGCTTGTGTAATCAAGTTCTTATTGAATTAAATTGAACTTAATCAAATTCGACTAACCTAGACTCATTTTTTGTTGTAATATTCATAATAAATAATTAATTTTTAAACTCTAAAAAAGAAAAAGAAACATTGATTCGAAGTTGATCTTTTGGCCTAATCCACTTAAATTTGGATCATTGAAACAAACAAATCTAGTAATAAAGTGCTTAATGAAATAAGATTCTCTATAATTGATGGATATTTATTTCTATACACATAACATTCTTCAATTATTTGAGAGAATCTATACTTTTATCAAGTATGTATTGGCACCAAATGCTCTATAAAAAGTTATGATTCTCTTTATTTTATTCTCAATACTTTTTATATATTATCATAGTTTTAAAAACATATACATAGTAACATAATATATTAGCAGAGATTTATGATTGATATTAGCTATAATTAGCATTAACATTACACATAACAACCAAACACAAAGCAACTATAGCCACTTTATTTTATTTTTAAAAAGCAAACACATATCATATGCTTTTTATATATTATATGGTTACATAAACTGGTTCCAATATCTCTGCTTCAAACTTTCATATGTCACACTTCATTTGCAGTTGCAAGGGTCACAAGTGCAGCTATCACCACACTTGCAGCCACCATCCTCAGCCGTGACACTCATTTCAGCACCATCAGAGTGGATCTTCGCCGGAGCGACGCCGAGAACCACGGTTTCTTTGGTTTCCATTTCGGAGTAGCTCAATCCACTCTTGTTACAACTGCCAAGCAATAAAAATCAAAATTCAATAAAATATAAACACAACAAATTGATAACCATATAGAAAAAATAACTATATAGATTTTAATGTGGTGGATCCTTACTTGCAGCTATCACCACAGTTGCAACTGCTTCCACACTTACAGCTAGACATTTTTTCAGAAACTAAGATTTTTTTTTGCAAGAACAATTGATATTAGTTGCTTGGTTGGTGTTATAAAATTGGTGTCTTTTAATGATGCTGTGTGACTCCAATTTATAAGGTGGGGGAGAATAATTAGTGAAATCTTGACCGTCCACGTGTCGTGATATTGTGTTGCATGGGTCCATAGCCGAATCTTGGATCAATTCTTAGTAGACATCGTTTTTATTGCTTGTCTTATTGTGGTGTTGGCGATAAAATTGTTGCATGCTTGCTGATTGGTTTTTACCAAACATGATATTTTATTGATTTTATAAGATTTAGTTTTATTAAAAAATCATGTTTGAAGATAAAAGTCACTACAACATTTTGGCTGAATCGAAGATGTTCGATGAAGGGGAAATAGGATTTTGAATTGGTAAAATAAATTTTTGAAACGATAGAAAGAGTTCGATTTTAAGTTTAACAATTTAACGTTTAAATTAATGAAGAATAAATGATCAGAGAGTGATAATAAATTTGATTACCTATAAATAATGTGTTCTTATTTTATTTTATAATAGGGATGGTTAAAACTAAGAGTGGGGAGTGCGGTGTCAGTTGGAGGATTCATATGGACCGTTGGTAATGCTTTAGAGGTGGAATTGTCTACTCTCGACGAGGATGGGGGAACACTTGTTTCTCGCATGCGCTCCATTGCTCAGGTATGGGCCTTTCGTCCTTTGCCTTGTGTACGGCCTAAAATTGTTACCCCTAAACTCTTGCTTCGTAAGATGAGTGTTTGTTGTATATGTTCTAGACTGATGGATTGACATGAGGAGATGAAGAGCTCTGATGGGACATCACTATTATTGGTAACATGCACATTAAATATCTTTCTAGTAATAAATTTAAGTGTGTTTTGTGCGAGTTCCTAATGATTCTTCGTCTTTCTTAGAGTACTTAAGTACTTTGCATAACCCTTGATGAAATATCGATTATCGATGGTGCACAATGGATCACACGATCTCTAGTGGTTGAGGCATATATAAAAGATCTATAAAGCATCATTTTTCTATTTATTGCCATTTTTTACCCGTGAAATATCTTATTCTTGTCTTGTCAACTTTGTTCTTTCTCGAGTGCTCTTCTGCTATAGTTTCTTGGCTAATCTCATATGCCTTCTTCTTGCTTTTCCTTTTTTATAGTGTTGTTTGGACAATGAATTTGTTTAGAATGGACATTCCGCCTACCATGTGTCACAAGGAAAATGAGGTTATTTATGTTGGACAAGCTTTAACCACCATACATCGTAATATAGCTACTAAAGCTTATGAGTTATCCTGCCCTTAAAGGAAGAACACACACGCCTGTACTTTTTGACCAGTATAGTGGCACCCATTGTGGGTTCTCGGTAAAACTATCTTGAGTCACACCATCTTCAACACCATCACCCTTTCTTATGTTATCCTTCATCCATACACCTAGCCATTTTCAAACATGGCTAATAGGAAAGCTTCATCCCATACCCCAGAATGTACCAACGATATAGGTGATGCCAGTGCTTTAGCAGAGATGTGTGCCTTCATGGACGAGTTACACTGCTATAACCATACACTGGAGGATGACATTCACAATATCAGACAACGCCAACAGGAGCCTAATCCTTTAGAGGAGATGTAACTGTTGGACCTCCATCCACTATTAAACGAGATATAAGGGCACCTGTCCCCGAGGGTTTAAAACCTCCCTCCTTGGCCAACTTTGATTGGCACGTCGATCCCTATGAGCACATCGCCTCCACCAATACACAAATGGTTATCAAAGGAACAACCGACTCCCTGAAGTGAAAGGAATGTTTGGTCATATCTCGTAATCGCCATAGAATCATTCATCCAAGATAAGGGAAATAAGAGGTGCCATTAGCTCCTAGCACACTGAGGAAATCATCTCACCCCTCACACGTATGAACTTGTCTTTTCAATACTTATTGTCATACCCTAAATTTTGTCCTAGTTCCCTTTTATGTTTTTAACGAGCTTTCTTTTTTGAATGGTTCAAATGGCTCAATTGGTAGTGTAGCAAGGTTGTTAAGCGTGTGATCCAGGGTTCGAGTCCAGAGTTTTAAGTATTCCAAAAGAAAAAAACAATTAAAACCAACATTCAAGTCAATTCAAGTCCTTCCCAAAACGTCAAGACCTTCCCAAAACAATGCACAATAGCACATCAACAAACCACAATAACAAATCAACAATAACCACAATAAAAAACACAGAGAACTTACCACCACCACTTTTCTTTCATCACATTATCACACCATTAACACAAACCACAAAATCATCATACAAAACTCAACCATAACACATCATACAAACAACCAATAAAAAGAAGAGAATGAATAAAAAAAATTGAAAAATGAAAGAGATTCAAATCCAAATTCGTCACCGACGCCGCTCTCTCGACAAAACCTCCACGAACCACCGCACGAACTACCTTACGGAACGACGCTCATACCCGCACCCACCGCCGATCGCTCAGGCTCTATCTTTGGTTGCGACGACCCCACTTTTGACCAATAAGACGTTGCAGTCGTGCCACCCTTTGATTTCGGTACTTTCCTTTGATGTTTGTTTGGATTTTCTTTTGATGTATGGATTTGAACCTGTTATTGCTTGATTGTTGTTATTGTAATATTGCATTTTTGAGTTTTTTTAAGGAAGAATTAAAAGATTGTGACAAAGACAGATGAACAAAGTGAAAAAGGAGAGGTCGTAGACATAAAGTGTTTTCGTTTCACTGATGTTAATATTATTTCTATTACACTTTTTTTTTTAATTTTTTACTCTTACTCACCACTTGTCAGTATTCGTATGGGGCTGCTTTATTTTGAAAAAATTGTGTTGACCAAATGAGCATATGGGCCTCAAGCCTCGCCACTGCCCCCGACGTGTTAGAACAAGATTTGTTCATGACATATATTCCTTAGATTTTGATGATAACAAAGTGTTTAAATAAAAATAATTTTATTTGATGTGCGTTTCTTGTGTGCAGGTTCTAATATACAAAGACATAGCTGAGAGAAGCTGAATTGCTAGCTTTTGATGGTACATAATCTGATAAACACTTGCTAAGTGATGTCTGATGTAGACTCTGAAGTTGAAGGTCTCAGCATCATAAAAAGCAACATAATTGTCTCTACACTTGGTGAATGTAAATTGACTTCTGGTATTGTTCAGAGTTGGTGATAAAGTTGAAGTTGTCTGTACTGCATAAAGCAAGTTGCATTGTCAAATTAATTTTTTCAGCTGAGGTCTGAGTTCACAAGGCTCAAGAAAGGTTAACATGCTTTACGAATATCCTCTCCAACGGCTCTATAGTACAGGATCTTCTTGAAGACTCAACAGTTAAATGTGTTACACAATGGATCAAGATTTTTTTGTGTATCTATCTTTAACGGATCTTGTACTATGGAGTAAAGCAAAGGCACTGATTAAGTTATCTCATCCAACGGCTAGTCTGTTGCAACTCCTATATAAGTGGCTGAAGATTCAAACTAAATCTTCAACAAGGATTAACTAGAAGAAGAAGTAACAAGATGAACAATTATCAACTCTATCATTTATGCAGATTTTTTGTTGTAGGTTGTAATTGTAAAAGCCTTAAGATTTCTTACACATTGAATATATTAGAAATGTTAAGAGCTTTAGGTCTTTGTTATGGTGGTTTCTCGTACCTATGATATTAGTATCAAGTACACCTTGTTCTCTATTTTGCTGAACTTGTTTAGTAGTTTAGATTAAGTCTTTCGCCAAGATGTTTTGGCCATGTAAGTCTCTTGCTATGTGCTTGAGCATTGAAAGTCTTAATCAAGTTGATTGATTGAGCAAAAGTCTTTTATCATTGGGGATACAAGCAAGGAAGTCTCTTGCCAAGATGATTGAGCCATGTAAGTCTCATGCTATGTGCTTGAGCAATAAAAGTCTTAATCAAGTGGATTGATTGAGCAGAAGTCTTGTTTCATGGGGATACAAGCAAAGAAGTCTTGGGCTAGTATGGCTTGAGTAGGTTGGCTTGGTTCATGAAATTGGGAGCAGTAAGTCTTAAATCTTAGAGGTCCAAGTAAGGAGGCTCGTTTCATTGGACTTGGAGCAGAAGTCTTGGGTCTAGAGGACTTAAGCAGGAAGTGTTAGACCTAGAGTCTGAACAGTGTAAACGACTTATGCATTATGCATAAGTGATTGTAATCATGATTTGGTTATAATGAAAATCACTTGTGAAGTAAGGGGATTGGACTACTCTCAGTTGGAAATGAATTAGTATAAATCTTTGTATCTTATGTTATTATTGATTTGCTTATGTTAACACCGAAGCTAAGTATAATCAGAATCTGAATACCAATTCAGATTCTAAACTCTGATCAGACGCAGATTTAAGAAAACCAAAAACATAATTCCACCATCCACCTTCTTGTGTACTTTTCTCACCTTCACGGTGTACAATATATGTTTTGTCTTTTAATTAATTATTTTTATTATTTTACTATAGTAAAAAATAAGAATTATTAATGGCGGGCCTTGGGTCTGGTTTGGATTACTATTACATTTCTCCCACAAATTCTTACATCCATGTTTAGTAATTTAATTGTTAATTTTATTTAGTTGAAATTTAGAATGTTTATTAAAAATACCAAGTTTTATTATTCGTTAAAAAATACAACAAAAATATATTTTTTTTTACACTTAGGTAAAAAAAAATACAAAACTATAGATTTTTTCCTTTCATTTAAACTAAAATAATAATAATTTTATTAACGCCTTTTTCATAATAAAAATTCAGATAAAAAGATCTTTGGGATGTATCTCATTTAGATATGTGAGTTGTTCGAACTGCAGTAAAGCGGCAAGAAACAAAAATTTACATTTTAAAGAAATTCTCTCCGGGATTTATATCGTCTCCACAAAGATCGGTGTGAGGGAAAGAATATCGTTCAACGGTCTCTATATTTCTAAGCTTGTTTTCGTTAAATTGGTTAA